AGAAATGATATTTTGGACAACTTAATTTTGTTGTCTCTTACGCTGAATGTTTTGAGATACTACCGAATAATTATTTCAATTTATTTGATGAAAGCCTTTTTATAAATTGTAACTTATTAGCCCGGCGAGTTTTATTGTAATTCCGTGATATGGAGCAACGAAAACTGAAAAGAGATGATTCTTCACTTAATGTTTTGTTCCCGGGGTCGGTTTACTTCTTTGGTGAAACAACCTGATTTCTTTCTCTTACATTGTTTTCATAAACTACGAAATAACCCGGCGACACCTTTGTCTTCTAGCTAATGAACATATGTACATACAAGAGTGACCTTAAGTTTGAACGTTGTAAATAAATTTGATTGACGTTATACATGTTCACTGCTCAAGTGGAGATCTGTTAATTTGACTTTCTTGTAACTGAAAAACAAATTCAAAATTTCGTCGTTTGATGCCTGTGTACAATTTGCCGAAGTTTTTAATTTAGAGGTGAATCAGTACGTCGGGGGTACTGCGTAAAACGTGGAGTTGTAGTTAAGAAGATTCGTAACGAGAGCAGGAGTTCCCAGGTTCGAGTCATGTTATGAGCTGAGAAAACGTCTCTTTCGAATTCCGCTAAGAAAAAGTAAGAAAACTAGTGAGAGTCAAGTCGGAAAATAGATTAGCAGGCGTCGGCATCAAAGAATATCTAAGGAGTAATGCTAAGAAAAATGTCAATGGCAATTCTTGGAAATAGGGAGGCACAGGGGAAGGGGGATTGTTATAGACAAAGTCTACATGAATCATAAGGGAAGAAAAAGGGAGAAGGGTAATAAGTGGTGAGAGTCACTAGGGAGGTTAGAGCTGAAATAGATCATAGTGGGGCACAGTAGCGGACTTACGGCGAATTAGAGGGACAATTGGACAAGCGATTTTACAGAAATATTCAGTGTCTTTGAACACATGGGCCAAACAAAACATCGTAGACCAATTCGTTTTTTCTTTCGCAATTAAATAAATTTTACACTGTTCTTCTTACCTAAAAAAATGTGAATTATTGTATTTGCGCTAGATGAAGCTTAGGATTGCGACCACTATATTTTCATATATCGTTGGATCAATCATGGGCCTAAGGGGTGACTAAATCTTCGTTTAAGAAATAGCGCGAACAATGATATTGCACAACCATGGACAAGTAATGTGAAGTACATTTGGATTTTGAATAATTTGATGAGCGGGCTCTCTGTCAAGATATGTAAGAATGTATTAGGCCACCATTAGTTTTGTGGCAAGCGAAAAAAAACCTCAAGCTATGTACAATGCTTATGAATTACCCAAAACACCTGTACTTCGAAAGACGAATGTTTTGTAAGTAGTTTTGTAATCTATATATACACCTTTCTGTTACGGTCTCTGTTGCCTCATGCCACTATAAGAGCCTTGTTCCTATAAGAGCCTTAATTTAGAGCGGTTTTCATTGAGTGTCGTAAAACCAAAACCAAACTAATTACTTACCAATTAGACTACACGGCCAATCTCAAACCGCAGTAAAACCAAAACCAAAGTAATCGCCCGATTGCTTTTGACACTCAGTTGAAAACCGCTCTAACGCCTTGCATCAAATCTCTATTGACAGCTAGATTATGGCGACATCCATCGCTTGCAAGTTAACGCCGCTGCCGCTTGACTAAGAATTAGCCAGTAGCAATCAGTATTATATAATTATACTGTTTTTTAGTACACAAAGTCTAAGATAAAGTATGTAAAACAGAGTTGAAAAAGCTCCTGAGATTTTCTTACCATGATTATTGACAATAAATAAATTTACTTACTTTATCTATTTACTTTATAGCTATGATTATTGACATTAAATGAATTTACTTACTTTATCTAGTTACTTTATAGCTATGCATAACTTCTGCCAGAAGTTTATAATTCTACTATTGCTTATTTAAAGACCAGAAAATCTTGTTTGGAGCTCTCTGACTGCTTTTGCATTGTTTTGGTTTTCACTCTACGATGATGATCAGAAAACCTCTTTAAACGTGAATTGCACCTGGGAGATCTCAATAAGTTCCTCGAATGGATAAGTGTATCCTTTTTAATCTAACCCAGTTTGACACGTATATCTCTGCAGGTTACTATCAGTTTGGGAGTTTTTCAACCTTAGTTAAATGTTATTTTGAAGATAGAGAAACGAAAATTACTGGTTAGAATGGCTGCTTACAATAAATGTCTACCAATACATGGCACTGCAGTAGCTGTAAAAACAGCTAGACGGTAATTTTGAATCCCGGCTCTACTCAAGCAGACTAACTTGAGAAGTAATTATTAAGGGAGTTCTTTTTAGCTGGTCTTTGAATTCCGCCCAGCATAATGGAAAGAATTCTTCGTAGCCCCACCCAGACCCCTCTCTGTCAAACACATCAGCTTCGTTAATGACTCGGGTGGCCTTCGGGAAGTTTGACGTTAGTGAATAAGCCAGCTTAACGAATCCCTTGCTGCTATGGCGGAAGTCACGTGTGCTTATGGTCAGGTAGAGACCTTGACAACCGGAAGTCCTCAGCTTAAGCTCCAAGAACCTGCAAAGCCGACAGTCATTGGTAAGTAAGTACTATAATACTGCTTTATCCACTTTATTTCCACTCTCTACCTCACACACTTTCAGCCCAATGGTCCAAATACATTATGTAAAGACCAAAGGACAAAAAGCTTTTTTGCAAGAAAAATAACAGAAAATATTTATGAAAACACAGGTAAAAATCTTCGCCTCTCGCGCTGCAAAAACCTTTGTCGTTCCTTCATATCATTTGAGACGCAGCATTACGTTACCAGGAGCCCATAAATAGAAGTATGCATTAGTCCTGTTCTTTCTTTGAATTAAATTGACGTCTTTGAAGTCATGCATCCTTAAAATGAATTTCCCTCTGAATTCTATTCAGACAACCAATCATAAGTTGACAAAGGCTTTTGTCGTTTACTATCTTACTTATTTCCCCGACACGCTTTACTGTTACTACTGGGGGTATACTCTGAATAGCAACTACACTATACAAGTTTAGTTATTTGTTCTCGAGACTGTACAAGAAGCCATATAAAAATGAACTTTAAAAAAAAGTTTTTACACTAGAGAAGAGTATTTCGGATATCCCAAACGTTTCCAGATTTCTAGCAGTTTGGGTATTCGATTTCGCAGGGTAATGAACTTCGAATCTGTTCACGCATGTATGAATCTGGGGTCATGTAATAACGTTGTTTTCTTCGGGTAATTGGGGGATATCTTGAAACTACAAAACGATAATGTTAGCTGGACAAATGATGCAGCAGGGCCGGCGTGAAAGTACTCTTAAGAGTGGCTCGTTCGTTTATCAAACATTCCCGATCTAAAAGTACCCTAATAAACAGTTCTCACTTTAGATTTTGAATATAAAATCTCCACAAAGGTGACTAAACGAAGACGGTTTTATTTTGTATCCGTCCAATACAGAAGCGACAAAAACCTCGACCCTGACGAATCCGGAAAGGTCCCTTCTAGTGTAAACGTGGTCTAAGAATACAGAGCCCAATACAGGTAAATATATGACATGAAGGAGAAAAGTCAAGCTCACATTTCATATCCGCTGACCCAGAAATGCGGGGACTTGATGATCTTCTTTTTCTTCTCAACTTCAACGTCTTCACCAATGTCCACTGTCCAGTTGAACACAACAGGTTCATCGTACGCTTTTCTGGCGATAGGTTCGCCCTCCTCGTGCTGTCTTTCCTGAAAAACCATTGGAAAGCAGTTTAGTTTTCCTATCACCAAATGCAACTTGGTCAGGCTAAATACAACATGGAAGGAGAGTAACTTAACAAAGAACCCCACCCATTCCTTTTATTGCGCTCTGACACAAACATTTAGGTAGCTAACCTTTGAAAACGCATGGTAAAACACGGCTTCCTCAAATAACAGTGGAAATTTAACAACCGTAGAAGCAATCGGATGATCACTGGTCACGACATCATGAAGGTAATTGATAGTCATGGATTTGAACCGAACCAGATCCAACAGCGGTTCAAGCTGATCATCAAACACTTCATTCACTTCAGCCCATTTCATCAGAGCGAGGAACACAGTGTTCTCTGAAGACACACAAAGCTCATTGCTGGAAAGAACTGAAAAATAATAATTGCTGGTTAGGATAAATATCATTATGATCATGTATCTAACACGAGAGACAGTGTTTCATCGGGATATCCAAACACCGAGAAGAGAGTTGAAAATACGACGCGCAGCGGAGTATTTTTGACGAGATTCTAGGTGTTTGGATTGATATCTTCTCAAATGAAACAAAAACTAAGGAGTAAACGGAGAAGTATCTAAACCTCCTTCATGGTTGTGATTTTCTTTGTTTTAACTTGATGAATTATAAGTTCGTATAATGTGATCGTCCGGGTGAGGGTAGTTCTGAAAAGAACTGTAAGTTGTTGGTGACTGACGTTTCGACAACCTGAGCGGAAGTCATCTTCAGAGTCAAGTGAATAGTGTTTACTATGTTGATGAATTATTAATGAGTTCGAGAAGATAGGATAGGATGGAAAGGATACTTTATTTAAAGTGGCAATATGCTTAGCCATACGACTAGTTTACAGATATCCCACTACTTCCTGTTAAGAATAAAGGCTGTATGTAATACAGTGGCACTGCTGTTTGAATTAAATGTCCCTCCTTTCTTACATTGTAGATCTGACTTCCTGACCTTCAAATATAACCTGCTTGTTGGCGGATATTAGAAAGAACAGGCGAGAGCAGCAGGTAGCTGTGAGTAAAGAGACCTGATGGGAGGGGAGGAGGAGAGAGAACAGCAGGAAGTGGGGAGACCCTAACCTCCCTTGCTGTCCTTCCTCTTAACCCTATCCTGACCTGAGTCTGTTCACATGTTATAGACCCTTTTCATAAATGGCTGCCAATTATAAATTCTTTTGTAAGTATTAAAATTAGGCTGACTAACCTCGTTTTTGAGTTGATAATTCAAAAGAATTTTTACTCCCAAACTAGTTAGTGAGGCTAATTTAAATGCATACAAAAGAATTTTAAATTGGCAGCCATTTTTGAAAAGGGTCTATTTGAACTGTTGTCCAGTGTTAGATCTGAAATGAGGCCCTCTTCTTTTCATAATATCGAAAAAGTCACTATTTTTAACTAAGTCCTTCAGATTCCTTCTTCAGCTTGATAATTTCAGTTTGGGATATTATTCTTTCCAAATGTGTGTCACTGACACAGACAATTCCTTTTACAAATATTGTAACTGTACACTCTAAAAGGGAACAAACATTTAACACAGATATTAGTATTACCTTTCTGTAGACCATTAGAACTCAAAGAGAGAAAGTCTTCATTGGACCACTGAGAGTCTAGTGGACTGAATTCTTCAACCAGAAATTCTTCGCATCTGCTAATAAACTCTGCCATTTCAGGGAGTCTAAAAAGCAACAACCAAACAGCCAACATTTACACATTGTTACAAATCATTTTAAATTCCTTATTCCCCATATGCATTTGGTAAACAAAAAACGAGATCGTACAGGTCAGGAAATCTCTAGTTCAGAAATTCACAGACTCCCACTGGCATGTATGTCTAGATTTCTTTGTCTGGGATTTGGTCAGCAATACACAGTTAAGCAATATCTGGACTCTGGATCAAGTGGTCCAGATTTGAGTCCTGGCCAGGGTCTTTGTGTTCTGTTCTTGGGCAACTAGGTGTTCAACTGGGTATCAGCGTGGCAGCCTGACAGATTGCTGGGGAGTAACCTGAAATAATAGCATCCCATCCAGGGGGGAGTAACAACACTTCTATATGGAACCACTTCACGTTACAGAAACTGGAGTTAAAAACAAAGTGCTACATATGAGCCAGTTCGGCTTTAATAAGAACCTTACTTATACTAGGGATTTGTGTTAAGTTATGTTATTTACCTTTCATGTTCCTGCATATTCAGTGACTTGTCACAGATCTCAACTGTCAGTTCAGCTGACCCAAGGAGTCTAGAAAATTGATCACAACAATAGACTTATGCAATAGTTATTTGGTGATAATGAACACAGAACCATTCAGTTACATGTACCAACAATTTTACCTCTAAAGGACTGAGTCTCTAAGCACTTGTGACAAAGTTTGTAGGAAAAAAACTTTCAGCAAAACAACAATGAGAAAAGTAAAGGAAGTGAGGTTTTCTTTTTCTTTTTTATGATCAAGTCTTTCAAGAGACTTTGACGGCCTTCTAGTTGATAATGTTCCTAATTCTCATCACCCAGCGGAATGGCAAAATATCAGAACTGTAAATAGAAACTAGATGTCCAACCCACACATTAAAAATGATAAACAATATCCTACTTTTGACAAGTTTTAAGGGTGCTCTCTGCATCATAAACATGAGCAAGCCTCATAAGAACAAGAAGATTCTCCACACTTTCTGTCATGACAACTTCAGGTTTATAAAGCGACTCTATCAACAGCANCGCTTTGCTGCCAATGATGTCAAAGGCCGACAAGTTGCCAATGGATACGGAGCCAGTTGCTCGTGACAACAACAAGATTTCAACGTTAAAACTTGGTGACCAAAGTTTTGTCCCGCTTTACTCAACTGATAATCGTAGTACCAACCAATCTGTCTTTACACAAACATGTACACATACATGTACATATACCTTAGAACAAGTAGTTTGCAGTGTTGTTTCCTACAATATCTAAGATTGAAGTGAAGCCCACTGGTTTGATTAAACTCCAGAAAAAAAATGAAGTTTGCAATCTTGAAAAGCCTCTTTATCCTTTCAAAGAACACTCTATAGATCTTCTGTATGGGGGATGCAGAGTCCTTTTTTCCCTGAGCTAGCTACATATTTGGATAGAAGGGGAGGGTTTAAAGTGTAAGGTTTTGTGATGATTACATTTTTCATTACCTAAAAATCATACCTTTTTTACTTTGGTTTCTTTCATCCCAGAACTAAAAAACAGGCTTCTGAAATAAGAACTATTCAAAGCCAACCAAAAGCTGTGTACATACAGCTGGTGTTCCCGGATCACTGTGTCAGCTAGTGTCAAATCCTCTTCACTTGTTCTCATGACACCGTTATCTGTTGACCGGGACGAACAAAACGCTGAGGCCCCGTCCTCCAAAGAATTCATAGCAGTAAGACCTATAGCTCCAGCTTTATGAGCATAGCGAATGTCTGCAATAAGTAACTTGCTGAAAGTGACGTCTAAATCCACTTCTGATGAGGTGCCAACCGGCAGGTGCTTGCAAGCACTAACTGAATTCATCATAGTCTCAGATTCTTGTTCCTGGTCTTCGACGACTATCCAAGATTCTTCTCTCTTTTTACTCTTGATAGTTCTTTTGGCCTCAGAAGATGAAGCATCGCCTATCCCCGAATCGCAGCTCAGGCTACTGACAGTTCTAGAGTCTGAAATCGAAGGCAAGTTAAACGAATCGTCCGCAGCCGTGGTAGCTGATTCGTCAGCATTGAAGTTTTGCTCATCTGTACTGACAGTGGATTCATTTTCCTCGTTCTCATCTGGTTTTTCTTGCTGGTTGTTGCTTGGTGTGGAGATTGTATCATCATTTCCTCCTTGTGAGTTGGTTTTCGTGATGCTTCGAACCCGGCGTGCGGCTTCCAACTTTTCCCAGCCATCCTTTCGAATCTTCACGACCAAAATGCGGTCAGACATCTCGGGATTGTTAAAATGGTCTCCGATTTTGTCAAAAAGCTTTTCCATAATCACTAATCTCGTTTTCCACACATTAGACGCCACGCAACAAGTATTATTTGACCACAAACTCTAACACCGACGCGTTTGTAAAATTTCTTAACACAAATAATAAACAAAAGAGCATACCGCTGACCAGTAAATATGAGACGCTATGTCAGCGGCTACGCGAAGTAAAGTATGAGCACAAATCCGTTGAGTCATATTGATAAAAGACGAGAGAAAATCGATAAAAGGTAAAAATTTTATCAGTCTTTGCTTGTCAGAATGGTTCTGGAATCTACAGTTGTATGGTAAGATTCTAACAGTTTTCCCCCGTGATCGTCGATTCTTGAATGAAGTTGGTTTTATATTGAAAATATTTGGTGTTTTTCGTAGCGTTGATAACAGCGAATGGATGAGGAATGGCGATTTCCTTCCAACGAGGTTACAGGCACAACAAGATGCCGTCAGCTTAGTTTGTCACTCGAAAACTAGACAAAACCCAGAAAATAATGTTGGTTTAATGACTCTAGCAAGGTGGGTACGTGAGGCATTGATGCCGGACGATTCACATTCAAATTAATTAATTAACAGTTTTCAAACTCTTACATCTACATTTGGTTGACCATTTTAACTTTGCAGTCACAGCAGGGTGAATCATATTGTCGTTCCCAGAGGCTGTGGTCCCTTTGGTCAGCACCAAGAAGCGCACTCTCTGGGGGTCCAAGACCAGAATTCTACGATTCTTGGACTCCCACCAAATCTGACAAATCTGATTGGCTGAGTCCACAAAACTCATACTCTGAACATGCTCAACAAGTGGGGTCCGGCCTGAGGTTGCAATTTTTGGTGCAAATCTATCAATA